CATGTTTATTCAGCCCAGTGAGTCTGTTTGTCTTGTGTGAGAATCTTTGTCTCTCTTGGTGGCAGGAAAGCAACTAGTGAAACACTTCACATTTAACAGTAACCAGTAATGTTTGTACTGAATAAATAATTAAATGTTGCCCCATCTATCAATGTTACAGAATCTTTCCAAATATTCCTGGATCCAGATTGACTGCATCAGGTAATCACTCCAAGTTGTGCTAAGCTCCACCTCTGGTGAAATTTTAATGCAAATCCCTTCAAAACTTTTCCAGTAATTTTGCTAAAAACAAACAAACAAACTGAACCAATCACATAACATCCTTGGCAGAGGTAGACATACTTACCCCCCTGCAGTTTTTAAAAGCATGCCTAAGGGATGCGAGTACCCCATTTAACAAACGCTGACTTAATCCATCGCTAATCCATGAAAATTTATAGTTGAGCTTTAAAGCTGCAGTAACTCCAACCGCTGCAGTTCCCATCAGCTCTACAAAGCTTCAAAAATGTGTTTTTATCTCATTTCTTACTGCTCAGACTTTCCAGTAACTTCAGTGTTTTGACTCACTCTCACTGGTCGTCTGCTGTCACAGCAGGCAGTTGCTTTACCTTTATTCTTTTTGCGTTTCTGATAACTGTTCTCCATTAAATGCTCGCTGCTCACCAAGCAGATGATAGCCAGAAACTAGCAGCTGAACACAATCCAGCTTTAAGCTTCAAAACAAACATTTCTCACAAGAGGTAGTGGAGAGCAAAATGGCGCTAAAAGTCGGGTTAATATTTGACGTCCCAGGCAAATGCAAACACTGCACTCAGTGAACGAGTGCTGCTCTGCATCTTCGGCATGTTTAAGCAACATGATTGTCAGTTCACCTCAAATCCTGCTGTTGCTACTGCTAAATTTCTTATACCAACTCGTACACTATTACTCACTCACTGCCATCCAATAACTACGACAGTCACACATTGTGGTCACATGTACCTCTGCAGCTTCATAGGTGATCGTTTTTGTCTCAGTGTGGATCACGGGCATGTCTTTGGTAGCCACTGCGGTAATGTCGGTACTCTGTTTGACAAATACACAAAACAGGGACAAATAAATGCCTGCAGGGGAAGACCAGCATTATGAAAAGCACCCTACCTGAGCCGGATGTTATGCCTGAAATCAAATGCTACAGGTGTTCACTGTTAACTGTCTGCTTCTGTTCTTAAAATAAGTAAATCACATTGACTAAAATAAGCAGCGCATGCTAATAGCTAAGCCGAGGATGGTCACCGAGTGCCTCAGATCTCTAAAAGAGCATGCAGTCATGTGTTAGTCCTTCATCCAGTGCAGGGGAGGACACTGAAGAATGGGAATCACAAGTTTTCTATCAAGTGTGTGCACCACATCAATTAAAAGGTCAGCTGATCTGCACAGCAACAAACTGCGAAGTTAGGAGCTTGAGAAATAAATCCATGTGTTTGGCAGAGCTAGATCGATTACTAGTGGCGGGCCGTGATGCGGGGGGTGATGGTGAGTCTGTAGTAATGAGGCTGAGGCCTCTGAAGCTTATGCAATGTTACCTCCAACGGAGGCACAGCAGAAGGCGAGTTGGAAGCTGGTGTGTGTGACCTAAGGAGTTCAGATGAGTCCCTTTGTGTGGGCTTGTCTGGCCTCGGACCTCAGTTTCTTTTTCCAGTGCTTTGCCCTCTACAATTTCTTCTGATGCCATCATGTCTCCTCTCCCTTCTGACTCATTTTCTTCCATTTTTGCAAATTCACTTCTTTACTGTCATACTTGTGATGTACTCCCTTCTTTACAGCCAATGGTTTAACCTCTGCTTCCTCCGTTTCATCTTCTGGGCTTTCCATCTTAACATGGTAGTATTTCTCTTTTTCAAACGGCAAACGGTTTGACATCTCTGAAAGTTTCTTTGAGTCATCCTCTGTACACTCAGGGGCCACTGGAAAACACTCCACCACCTCTTCATCCACCTCCATACCATCTTCTGTCTTTACGGGGAATTCTTCTTTGAAAAATTGTACCTCATCAGAGAACTGGACCCTCCTGTTCTTCACTTCTGTGTGCTTCTTCTCCCCTGCATGTTTAAAAGCTGCAAACTTCTTTTCTAAAGACTCCAAAAATCTCTTATTTTTTTCTTCATCGGGTTCGTTCTTTGTTAAAGGCAGCTCTCCTTGCTTTCCATAACCACTAATGTAAACAGGAAGAGTAAATCTGAACCCATCACTGCCATTTTTTAACATCGGTGCCTCCACCTCTACATCTGTTAAGCTTAGCTCCCCAGCATTTTCATCTACCCCCAAATGTTTTGCCACTGGCTGCCTCTCTGCCTTCACCTGCAAAGCTGCCCTTGGCTCATTTTTTAAGAATGTGGCACAGTCAGGAAAAACAGACTCTTCATCTCCTACCCTACAGCCACATATTTCTGATTGTGGCATTACTGCATAATCTAGTACCCTCTTAGCAGCCTCTGCTAACACTACTGCAGCTGTGAGCTCTGCTGTAGGGTGCGATTGCTCGGCCTGTACAGCCTCTGTGGTCTGGATATTTACCGTTGGCCCTGCAGACTTGGCTGGGAGTGCCTCCGTCTCTATCACTGGTTTCTCCTCCTGACCAGCTGGTGCCTGTGAATGATAATTATATCATTAGATAATGTCAAAATTCAAACACATAGGGCAATTTCAAACCTGTAAAGGGAAACAACTGTTAGTTATGAGCACGTGTACAACCAGTACAACAATTACATACAACCTGTGTTCCAATACTTATTTACTGTAAGGGCCAGAGAGCAGTGGTCACCTTTTGAGAGGAGGAAACACACTCCAACGTAGACTAATGGGACAGGAAGATGGATGGACACAAGAACAGAGAGAGAGGTGAAGAGGGAACAGTCAAAAGTCACAGTCTGGATTTAAAGAGCCAAAGGAGAGAGCATGGAAAAGGAAAAAAAGGACTGAAAAGTAAATAATGTAATGATTGTATGGAATACCATTATGTAACTTATTAAATGTGCTGACTTATGACAAATCCTAAATCCTTTAAACAAAAATCCGGTTTTAGAATCACTAAATCCACTAGGAGCAAATTTCCACTAATCTGCTTTTCAAAACTGCTCCATAAGAACAGTGAAATCTCTTCTCGGGTAGATCCATACAATTTCCCCCCCCGACCTGTTTATGAGGCAGAGGGGATTTTGGAGGATGAAAGCTGCAGCAGTGGCACCGAGCCAGGGCTATGAAGTCACCGCTTTCAGGGAACTGATAACGGAACCGAAAGAAAGAAATGGTGTCGCTTAGCAGAGCTGTAGAAACAGACAGAGACCCAATTTCTTCCTTTATCAGCTGCGGGAGTTAGCTGCTACTGTAAGGCAAGCTGTTAGCTGTCAACAAAACTCAAAAACAAACCCAAAGCAGCTGCACTGAAAAAGAAGCAGCGGGCCCGACTGCAACAGAAACCGGCGGTTTGGCAAGAGTGCGTGTAAACGCTAGGTGTTAAGGGACTGTTAGCCATGCACGGGGCTTGAGTTATTAGACCGGTTTGGTCGCTGCTGGAGTGAAGGCAGTAAATGGGGCTAGGCAGCGGGTGGTGGTGGTGGAGATATGAGGGGAGGCAGCCAAAACTGAATAGTTACTTTTAGTTTTCATACAGTACCACAACTAAAGATGTAGTTGAAGATTCAGAAACTGTAATCTGCTCAGACTGGACTTCTTTGAAAGTGAAGATTTCTGCTCTCTCCTGTAGTCCATCAGAAGTCTTCATATCTTTTACTTCCTTTGTTGACACACTGATGAACTCTGGAGTCTGCGTCTTCACCTTCTCAGAGATCCATGATGCCATAGCCTTTTTAGGCGAGTCAATACCTTTAATCTGAGTCATGCCGTCTGTTTTTATCTCCACCTTCGGACTCAGCATCTTGGCGGCTGTAGTTTGAGCTTCTGTAACAACTGAAGTGTCTGCTCTGGGGATTTCTTCCTCTTTAGAGGCCATCAGCATTACATGCTCATCAGCTTTAAACTCTCCAGGGACAGCACTTTTCTCTTTGCCCTCAGTGTCTGATTTATCCTCGACGTCCTTCAGGATAATTAGCGTCCCTTTCTTGTCGCTGATGGCTTGGGACACTTCTTGTCTCATAGCTCCGGGGCTGACCTTCACCACCAACCTCTCTGACACCTCATCCTGGGACTCAGGGGTTTTCTCCTCCACCTCCCTCAGGGTCCCGTCCACAAAGACGTCGTCGTCCATAGTGGTTGACAGACTAACCCCATGAGGCCCAGAGGAGGTGGGCCCATCAGCTGTCATACTATCCACCACATATTTCACCAGATAACCTGCTGCCTGGGGAGACACTTGGCTTATTGGACATGGATCGTTCAAGTTAGTAGACAGAGGACATGACAAAGCCAATACACAGCAGAAATAAAGAACGCACAAGGAGAAAACACACACACACCTTTTGCTAAACAAACTTAAATCCCAGTTTTACATATTTCAGTACATTTAAAGACTGAGCAGTCCCAAACACTGGCCATAGGTTTAATTTGAGATTTCTTCTGTTGTTTTTCTGTGATTTGCTAACCAACTTTTGTGGATGTGGTCAAGTCAATTTAAACTCTTACAACAGTTTAATGGTTTGTTCAACTACAATCAAATCTGGAAAAAACAAGCATTTGCACCACAACGGCGTCCTACTCTCAACGACCACAGGCAATTTGCAGCTCTTAGTAATCACACTTCAATTTCTCCAAGAGCTGCAAGTTCTAGTGTCCCTGCGCAGAGACAGAGGTACTGTCACTATAAGAACTAATGAGTCTTTAGCAGTTTCTAAACTTGAAAAGACAAAAAGGAAGTTTTAAAAGCTTTCAAACTGTGGCCAAAGAAAGCCTAGAGAGTGTTGAAAAAAAGCAAAAATGACAGAAACACTGTTCTTTCAAAGAACCACATGCCACAATTAAATCCACATAGATAAAGGTAGAAAAACAACAACAACAAGTCTCACACATGTTCAATATTAACTCAGTGGAAGCAGCTTACCTCAGTGATTTTAGGTTCCACCTCTTTTGTCTCATCTGCTGCTGGCTCATCTTCTTTAGTCTGCAGAGGGAACAAAACATAAATAGACATTTAAAGAAAGTCACATATATCCAAGAAAAATACAAGAACGGACACAACCAGTGGAACCGCATGTTCCATTGTGGCAACTCTGGATCCTAAAGCTCCTTCACCTCCTTGCATTTTAGTCAGACACACTGGTTGTCAGTGACTCGTCTTCACAGACTTTAATTAGTGCCGCTCATTTGTCCTGTGCAAGTCCATCAGATAATTTTACACATCACAAGTAAAGGAGAAACTCTGATAAAAATGCGTATAATGTCACTGAGCACAACAATCACACCACTGATTAATGACTTCATCATCCATTACCGAGACAAATTAATATGATAATCAGTTACCGAAGACATGAGCTGATAAGAGGGAAAGAGAAACACATTCACTGAAATTAACTTTATTCAGCTCTGAATAACTTTACAGATAATTCTCCTCTGTCAAGGTGCCCATCGTCTCCTTTCATATGCACTAACACCATTTGGGATGCAAAATGTGTGACCACACTTGCTCCGTTTAAGAGAAAAAAAAATCAAGGCTCATTATGAATATTAAATTTACTGCTTTTGAGTCAATGTGCACTAAATTCTGAACTGACTACTTTTTTTTTTTTAAAAGCAAAAAATCCAAAGGAAATCTCCTTGGTGATGTCATGCTCTACACACACATGCCATCATTCAGTCTGCTATGGTGCTCCAGCTTACATCCAGCTCCAGCGGCTCTATCATTGGTGCCTCATCCGATCTAGGTGAGCGCATAGGGGACGAGGAGAGTCTCTTCTCCCACTCTGTCAGACCGGGCATGGTGACGCTTCCGTCGGTCTCCAGGAAGGAACGCTTCAATTCGCTGATGTTGGTTTGGTGCTTGACGACCTCCGCCGGAGGCTCTGTGTCCTAAAGTGGCCGATCAACCGTGATACAATGATGAGGGCAGGAGCAGCGCGGAGGGAACGACGGCCATGCTTCATGTACGCAATGGTAGCTTGCATTTCCAAAGAATTACCAAAAATACGCGGACAGCATAAAATGCAGCTCGGAAAAGATCTGCGACATAAACTTCCGCAGACCTAAATCAGTTGCATTATTTGCTTCCTCGGCTCTTCATACTTATTGTTTACAGGCCTGTTTAGGACTTTGTGCAGGCTACCTGTGCAGCAGCTAGCACAAAACGCAAAACAAAAGCAAAAAAAAAAGGTACACCCACACGGCAGCTGTTAAGAAAGTAGCAGCTTGTACTGAAATGCTAAAGAAGCATTTAAGACTAGCTTAATTTTCTGGGGGGGAACTGGTTTCATGCAGAGATTTACAGATTTAGTTTCATAGGTTTAGTTAAGAAGAACACTCCCAAATCTCATTCAAGGTTAATAATGACCTATTTCAACTTAGCCTGTTTTGTCATAAGAATGCATTTGGATGCTCACAGCAAGTCTAACTCCCCAAAATCTCAAATACTAGCAGCCACTCATCAGTTAGACACATCTGTTACCACTTCGATTACCAGTTAGGTTTCCTCTTACCAAAGTAACCTGCATGCACATTTCAGTCATGCATTTTTTTCTTACCAACCTCTAGCATCAGATTACTATGTCTGATAAAAACGTTTTCCCCTTTTACTCGTCTTATGAAACTATACTGCAAAGACAAGAAAGGGGGAGAGGAACTGTAAATAAGGGAATTAAATGCTTTATTAAAATCAAAATAGTTTTAGGAGAAACTGGGAGCCTTGGTTTATACAGTATGACTGACAAATGAGGGTAAGCTTCAACGCACTGAAAAGTCACAGGTTATGAAGAACCTTGAAAACTGAAATCTGAGTCCTGGGTGTAGCAACAGCAGGAAATTAAACATAACCACGACTCCACAAAAAAGCAGCAGAAGTCTGCGCAGTGGATTTAAGCAAGAGTCTGATGTAAGGTATGATAGTGAGCAGCAGCAGCAGCAGCAGCAGCAACAGGCAAGCGAAGGCAGATGGATGGAACAAAATGACTGATGGCTGATTTGTGAGCGGCTCAGTGCATCTGATGTCGGTGTGATGCACTGAGCAGGGCTGCGAAGCAAGCCCGGTGTACCTGCGTCCGCATCTCAGAGTCCTCATCTGCTTCAGACTGGCAGCAAGTAAGGAGGAAAGCATAGAGACAGTGAGACAAGACAGTAATGCGCTATTAAAGAAGAGACGCAGATGGAAAAACCAGGTGAAGGGAAAGAGAAAGCGAGCAACAAGGACAAGCAAGCAGAGGTGAGAGAGGGAAGGGAAGGGTAAAGATAATGAACAGAAACTGACAGTTAGCTAATCCCCGGCTCTGAACAACTACAGTCCACGACAAAATATGTAACAAGGAACTGCAGCCATGTCCACCTTTGGATCTTTCCACAGGTTTAAAAGGACTGACAGCAAGTTTTATCAGGCAGCTGATTTCATTTGAACTTTCCAAATCAAAAAGTGGAAGAAACTGAATAAACAGTGACTTTCTCTGCTCTATACTACACAGCTATTGAGCTTATTCTTAAATTAATAAACAAGTATTACCAACATCCACAAACCAAGTGGACGTTGACTTGTGTGCTGAGTTTTTCTTTCAAAAGCTCTCTTTTCTGACTTCAAGTGTAACCACCAGTATTTAGCCATTAGCTTCTAGCAACAGCTATTTCTGATGCTGCCAGACTTCAGCAGCGATTAGATAGAAACATCCAAATTAGTTTGGGATGGTTATGTCTCCCCTTTATGGCCAAAATGAGCGTATTACAGGAGCTTAAGCTCCTGTAATCTGGCAATATTTTTCACTTCAGATGATGAAATCAGACAGACACAAGAAGCCTGTCTGAAATCATCTTCGTTTAAAAACCGCTTTTGTTTTTAGGTATTACAAATTAAAGTCTATCATCAACAGACACTGCAACAGGTGCAGGGCTTAGCCAACAGTCAGTATTAATGGAGTCTGTATAAAAGACTGATAAAGAGATAAAAGTGCAGATATTGTGACATGCATTTTAATACATAAAAAAGGGAAGGAACTAAAATGGCATAACAAGATCCAGAGCATGACCTACACGACTTTTGCATTTTCGCAAAAACGTTTCAGTGGTTACCAGACCTATAATTCCCCGGCACTTCCTTGCTTTTCCTTTTTATTCTGTATTTCCTGCATGCCTTAATTATGATGGTTTTCCTTTGTGTACAAACCTCTGTAGCGGTCATCTCTCCATCAAAGGCAAAATCAGTTTGTTCGCTGTCAGTCTGCATTCACAGACACACCCAAACGGGTCCAAGTCGAAAGCAAGAAAAACAAGAACAACCAAACTTGTGAACGTTTGACTATTATCATTTATGCTCTACAGAAATTCTTCATAGCCACAATAATGGGGAAGATGGAAATGCATTGGCTGTTTGCACTGTGAGCTACAGATTATTAGACAATACTGCAGATACGTTCTGCAAAAGAACAACCACAAATCAAACAGTTAAAAAGCAAATGAAAAATAAGCAGAAGCAAAACAGACTCAGAGGAAGATGAAACCTTCGGTCAGTCACTTTGACATTTCAGGGTAACATTTGATATATATTTTTTAAATCAATAATACAAATTTGTGATTACGAGAGGCTACATCCTGGTTTATGTCAATCACTCCACGTGGATATGACATTTGCTGTGTAGTCACTGTACAAACACAAAACACTTGACAGTAAAAATTTGTTGCCGAACAGTAACCTGACTTTCAGGCCCTCCCCCTCCTCTCACGTCATGCATGCTGGGGTGATTAGGATGCATTTATCTGTCACCGTCTCTCTGCATCACAGCGTGTATTACACTACACTCGTAATTGGTGACTGCAAAGAGTGCTGCTTGAGGGAAAGGTAGCACATCTTTGCACTCCACATGGCAAGCCTCTTCACCGAAACACTCGGTGCCCTTTTCAGCTGATGTTCAGTTTGAATGATTCATTTTAATTAGTGCTGCTCTTCTGGATGCAATGCAGAGAGACTGAGTGCAGATATATATGGATGTGTTCCCATGCAGCTGGTATGGATCACGGTTTAATCTATAAAAGCCCTGAATGTGTATGATAACACTGAGATGGGTTAGCCACAAAAGCCGTGTTTTTCTTTGTGGGGTTTGGTGAAGGATTAGTGACTAAATGAAGACAGGTGACTTCTTCTGATACTCATAATCTGTAAACACAATGTGCTCATTCAGATAGTGAAATAGTCACATGATGAACTGTTTTTTTCTTCAGTGGGAGTTCATGGTAACGTGTCACTGAAGCAGCTCAGAAGCTCTTAATGTCCCTGACTATTTGTGTCTAACCCTCTCTTTAAACATACATCAAATATGAAATGGTGAGACTTGCAAGTTCATCTCCGTGTACTCGTGATGCTGATGAGGATGTAGCCTACAGGATGAATGTGACTGGGCAGAGATGAGGTTCTGAAAGTAGGAGACTGACAGACACTGGGACAGACACAGTCTCCAGGTCGGCTCTGAACTGGTGAAACGGCAGAGGACACGGTAAGGGGTTAACCGATATCATGGACTGTCATTCTAAGCCAGGGGCGGGTACTGGAACATACAGGCGTCCGCAAAACACACCTCCTCTTCCTCTGAACTGTCATGGTCATGGTAACTCTGGGCTAGGGAGGCGGTCAGGGAGGCTGCCTTGGGCTCCAGGTAGCAGAGGCACAGCGCCAGCGGGAAGGAGAGGGTGAGGGCATAGGGCACAGAGAAGGAAGTGGAAAGCAGGAAGAAGAAGATGAAAAGGAAGCAGGGGATGAGTGAAGGTGACTTAATGGGGAGGAAGTTCTGCGCACACTCGGGGAGGAAGCGCATCTCTGACAGGTCAGGGAATGTGATGTAGCCATCCTCATCTAGGATGGACGACAGGTCGGGCAGGTGCAGGGAGAAGGAGAAGAGCGTGCCGCCCCGGCGCTTGCCCTGCTCCAGCCTCTGCTTGCGGGCTGACAAAAGCAGCGCCTGCTCCTCCAGCAGGGCGGCTTTATGGTCGGCGCGGGCTTGCCGGCGGCGGCACCCAGTACCGCTCTTGACTGGACTGACTGATGAAGCCCGCTTGCGGGCGTTCTCCCTGTGCCTGCGCCGTACTTTAGTTGATGAAATGGGGGATGAAGGGAGCGAGAGCTCAGAACGGAGGGGGTCAGATGTGAATGCATGAGGGGTGCACTGACGGAGGGAAATGACAATGAAGAGATGGCCGTGTGTGTGTAGGGGAAAGGAAGGGGGCGAATAAGCATGAGCACACACAAGTATAGTGTGAGGGTCAAAGGAAAAACAAGAAAAGAAAAGCTAATTAGTAAAGCGCACAGAAAATGAGAAAAAGCATTTAGGCCTTGTCTACTGCAGAGGGTTAAGCTGATAGCAAGTGGGAAATTCTCATCAGCCAAGAAGAAGTCTATTAAGAAAGAAAGCAAAATTAAAACCTCAGAAAGGGCTTAAAACATAATAACTGCAGCTTCTAAGAAACAATCTTAGTCTTTCACGTGTAGCACCTCTCTGAATCAAACAGAAAACATCCAATGTCTCTGCAAGTTTCCTTGAAGTCTAAATGTGGACAGCAACTTACCTTTGTGTCTTGTCTGAGCGGTGATGTGGCAGCAGGTTCTGGTGTCTCTGCTGTGTCCTTCTTAGCGTCCCCCTCCTCAGCCTTCTCTTCCTCTGCTTTTTTCTCAGTTGTTACAGTGGTGATAATGTCTCCCTTGGCAATGACTTTGGCTTCCCCGTCAGCAGCACTGTCCTTCATCAGGGTCTCATGGTTCTCCATAATTGGAGCTGAAACACCAGAGGACAAAGATGGATGTGATGGCCAACTGCATGTCATTCACTGTGAAAAAGTTTTGATTTGCTCCTGGACATTGCTGCTATTATATCCTTTATGCATTTGTCACTGTGCTGCTAAACATGCACCAAAAATTTAACAGCTACGTTAACATTCAGGTGTAAACATTTTTCTTCCACTTTCCCGAGGCATAGCAACTTCCTCTTGTACAGAAACACTTCCAAGAATCTCTGTGCTCAAAATAAGCTGAAAAACCAACACCTCACCTCCATCTAAGCTGCGGGACATGTTGTAGCGTTTGCTGGAGGTGCGTTCAAAGAACGGAGCAGGTCTGATGATCTGAGAACTGGCCCTGCGTGTCTGAGCCTGTGTTCTGCCGCTGTAGCGAAATTTGGAGCCGAGAGTCAGGAACTTCTTTGGGGGTGCCTCGGGGGATACGAGCCTGTCAGAAGTTACCAACACTCACATTATTCAAACCAAAAATAAAAACACAGATTTAAGCATAGTGCTCTGAAATGCTAACTGCTACTTTAGTGAACATTCCCCAGAGAGCCGTGGGGCTGAGCACACTACTCAAAACCTCCCTGGAAACCAATTTTTTATTTATTTTTTTGCTTAAATGAACAAACTTTGCATGTTTTCCAAATGGCAACAACTATTAAGAGTCTGGACGATGCTTCTCTCACGACATGAATTCGTGTATAATGATTAGCAGTAAATCTGTGCCGACAAAGCTGTAGGATCACATGTCTGATTCACAAATTCATTTGGGAAACAATGTATTATGCATGGTATTGAGTGGAGAATAAGCTTGAGCTGCCGAGGTGCACATATTATTTATAATTAAAACTTCTCAATGCTGTGTTCTCATCACAGGTCTGTTGCTTTTTCTTACCTGAAGAAGGTGTGGTGTTCCACGCAGACTTTCCAGAGCCTTTTGGCAGCACGATGATTTGGAAGCTTGAAACCAATCGTGCTTTCAAACTGCTCGAACTGCAAGTGAGACAAAATGCTGTGGTTGGAGTCACCATGGAGATCCCTTTGATAATCACAATTCATTACTTTTCCCCCCTAATCATATTAATGTGTTTTTATAAGGTATTTGTCTTTAATTAAAAGGATAACTGCTTTGCATTCTAGCTTGATAATTTAAGTGAACACAATTATTTATTAACATTTGAAAACAAAGAAGGAAATTCGCCCAACTTTCTTTTTCCCCAAAGGGTTGCTGAACTTAGCCAGTAATTGCTAGATGCCCAGAGGCAGCAGCAGTTCTTGACTCTTCTCTACTTCATGAGATTTCTGCAAGAACTGATGTCAACTATTCTAGGAATGTTTGGTTTCATTCTTCTTTCATACATGAAACAGTAACTGAACTGTTGATTTATTGTCAAATTACTGTATGAAGTCACTTTCATTATTACGGTTACCTTTTGAAAGTACTAAATATAGTAAAGTTAAGCTTGATGGCGTTTGAGTCAAGTTTCCTCAGAGTATCAGTGGTACAGATGGTGTGTGTAACACCGATAAAGGCTCTCCCCGGTTGCTCTAGACACTGAAATTAATTCCCTTTGCAGTAAAAGTACATGCACTTTGAAAAATCCAGCAACTAAGCACTGTTACATTTAGAAGGAAGCTGATGTTAAAGTATCGTTGTCGAGGAGCTACAACCCTGCTTGCTTCTAAATGTAACTGTTGTTAGTTGTTTGCTATTTTTAAGCTGTAAATGCACACTACTAAAAATAAATAAAATAAGGTGACACTGTGAAGCAGAAACCATTGCGTCACCTGTTTTTGTGCAAATCAAAGTGACTACAAGTGCACTGAAGAAGCAACAACAAGACAGCCCACATAAAGGGAATGGTGGTGGCTACAGACTTTTGCTGTCTGATATGAGGAAATGAGGGCTATTACAGGAGAGTTGGACTGAAGAGCTTCAACCCAGCTGCACAACAAGCATCTGCTGCTTTATGTGAGGGGAAACAGGATGAAGGGTGCACGAGCACATCTCCTGGTATTTTGTCCATACTCTTGAGACACAGCAAACATTCTTGCAACAGCAGGTACGGATGCGCCATCCTGGAGGAGCTGCACTACCTGTGCAACCTGACAGGGCTGCAGGTACCAGCGGGTCATGCTATCAGCAGGGCCCAAGTGAAAACCAAAAGTAATCAGGAGGGACGACGGGAGGCGCAATGGTTTGCTGCCACCACCCGCAAAACGATTCTCTTTTTTGGTGCTTGTGTTGTTGTTGCCACTGTGCACCAAGGTAGAGGAAATGAATTCACACTGGTTAACATATCCTAACCAGACAGATTGACATCCCCGAAGTTTGACTGACTGTGTACAATCTAGTGTCCCCTTTGAAAACCTTTGAAACAAACATGCTAAACAAGAAAGCTTTAGTTTGCAATGCAGATGCCTTACTTTGTTTAATACTTGCAAAAGCTAAGAGCAATAATTGGTAAAGCTGCATTCAATATTTAGAAGTGCAGCCATTCAAAAATAAATCAAAGTTAAAATCATCTGCCTCTAAATTACATATAGTGGTTCCATTATATTCTTAACCCTGGAGGTTGTTCAAAAACTCATCAGCTCTTAGAGATGTTTCATGAAGTCCAGAAGAAGTGCTACCCACTGCTGCCACAGGGTTTTTAGTAGCTACTGGCTGAATGCAGATGCCCAGCCAGGCAACTGAGAGCCAAGTTGTTGTTACTCAGTCTCTCTCTACTCCAGCTGAGAGGTCCATTGCTCTTCAGAATATTGCTTTGGTCTCCAAGCAAGAGGAAGTGCACTCCAACATACCTCCATCCCACCATTCGCCTTAGCAATCAAGTCAAATAAAGCGTATAATGGATGTCATGATCAGGCCCATGACTGCTTTTTTGCTGTCCTTGTGTTGTGGATTTTTAAAAGTGCTCTATAAATATGTATTTTTTTAGTTTAGCATAGTGAAATCCCAGTGCTGTACTATCTTTTGCCACAGATCTCAATGACACATTTTACAATCACCCAATTCCCTGCCCTAATTTTATATTCATATTTCCAACATAAATCAGCTACAGACTACAATGCATAATACCCCATAGCAGAGATGGGGTATTATGAATGTAGTGGCAAAAAGGTTTCAAGTTTATGTTTGCTGCTGCAAGAAAGTCATTTCCAGTATGTTCATAACGTATCTTTACCTCGCCGGGCCGGATTTTGATGTAGAAGTTGTTCCTTTTGTAGGAGATTTTGAGGATTTTGGGCCAGGCGAATCTGTTGATCCGCAACCTGTCTCTGTAGATGAGTAGGCCACTTGCACAAACTCCCAGCATAATCTCCACACCCTCCGAGTCCTGGAAACAACACAAACATCAACACACGACAAAGCAAAATATGGAAATACGTTATGTTTGAAATATTGTTTACAAGATGTTATTTAACACAAAAGTCCTTGACAAGCTTTACAAAGAAGTTCACTGACCACGGCATCGTTTTCTTTTTCTTTTTTTGTGGTCTCTAAAATATGAACTTCCATAGACTCTACAGGATATACGGGAGGCGTTTAGGTGTTGGTGCACAGCAGGACAAAGTGGAGTTTAAGATAAGAGCCAGGTTTGTGATAATAACAGGGTTAAGCAGGCAGGTGGAGAGTGGATTCAGGCATATGGCACTCTAAACTCTTCTATGCAGGCTGTGTGGAGTTTGAATTAAGACTGAAGGGGTTCCAACTGGCAAAAGGAACAGTGAAGTTTCAGGAAACGGTAGATGAAGCACAAAAATGACGCTCTTCACTGCACAAAGCATGAGATGAGCAGGTAAAAATGAATGACGACGTTTTGAAAAGGGAGGCGCTGATCCAAAGCATGAACAACCAGCCTTAAGTGATTTGTGGGGTGCTTAAAATGACACCTTTGAAGGAAACCATGCACAAGTAGAGACCACATAGACACACACTCTCATTCGGGCAAAGCACATGGAAAGCAGCCTCTTACCTCTCCCTCAGCTGGAGCCAAGCATTCATAGAGATTCCCTACCAACTTTGCATTTAGTGAGAGAGGAGAGAAGACAAAAGAGGGATGCTGGTCTGATATGTACATCTTTTTCTCGTGTATCAAAACTGTGACTCACAGAAGCAACACTGAGCATTGATGTCTGCTCGGTTTGATCAAGGCCGCTTCCGCATCTCTGTCATCTCCTCTATTCTGATCTAAATCTGTGAAGGCAATTTCCTCCCCATCATGTGCATCTAGACCCTTTTTTGACTTTCAAAGCACATTTGATAACAGATTCATATCAAGAAGACTGATGGCTGTAATTTTCTTTTATGACAACAGCGGCCCCGCTGTCCTACACCAGCTCTCTGTTTTTACCGCCCGTTTTCCAGTGATATATTTGATCGAATCTGGACAGTAGAATAAAACAGATGGGAAATTATCCAAGTCAAGCTGGGCTCCAGACCCCCTCCCACCTATCACCCCTCTTAAACCCACCCCAACCCCAGAGAGGCAACAGTGACACAATGTCAGTCAGTCAGGGGAGCAGCAGTGGCATGTTAAATCGAGGCATTACTGTGGCAGCCATGATGTGTCTGAAGCAGCAGTGTTGTGGTAGCAAGCGTCAATACCGAGTGCATGGGTGATGTGTTTGTATAAGACCTCACACAGAAAACGCCAAAAACAGTTTACGTCCACATTCTGAAAAACATGAATTGTTTTGAAACGCCCACCACATCTGACGAGGTGAAAGTCCTTCAGCTCCACCTCTTTGTTTATAGTAACAAATTAAATAACTAGTTTTTACATTTTGGTGTTTTTATCTTAGGCCTCTGTGATATCGTGGTAGCTAAGTCTATCTTTTACACAAAGACTATTCTAACCTCACATAAAGGTAAAGCCTCTCATTTAATTTGTGTAAATTAGCGATATATTCATGTACTGGTGGGAGAGAGACTTTTAGACTCTGTGCCAATGTTAACTTCATATTTAATGAGTAAATATGAGACTGAGTGATGGTTGTTTGCTTTCTTGCACATGTCGACTGTAAAGAGGGGGAAAAAAGTTACTGTTTGGTTTGCATGTATAATAAAGCACGCTGTAAAAACTCACAGGTTAACCTTTTAAAAAAAAAACAACTAAATTGTTTTCCACAGTTAGGTTGAATTCTATAGACTGATATATCATTGTGTTGTAAGAAATATTAATAAATAAATAATTAAGATTTGTTGCAATTTGCTACCTTAGCGTGGTGGAGGTCCACACCGTACATGGATAGCTTCTTGGCATTTTCCAAGAAGTGCATCTCGGCATCAGCCGGTGACATCCCCCTGAATGGACACAACAGAGCACGTCAGACATAAACACGTAAGGCAAAGAGATTTAAACCGCTCTTTTTTTCTTAAAAGCAGACTTAAACCTTTCTGACCAATGTGACAAGAGAGAAAATCTCTACATGGATTATTAGCAGGATTATAGCTTGAAAGATTTTGGAAAAAGGCTGTTTTCATGGATGTTTTTAGCTGAAGTTCTATAGAGAATTCTAAGTGTATCCATTTTTAGATTTTCTTTAGAGAAGACCCTAATCCTGGCAATGTCACTGCCTCACTGCAGCCAATGGACCAGCATCAAATTACAGACAAATCATTGCAATAAAGGTGAATGAGGGGGCTCAGAAGAGAGACTTAGGTTAGATTGTGAATGTTCACTCAGATTCACAGATTGATTCAAGGCCTAATAATGACATAAAAACTAGATGTGCAATTCAACTTCAGATTTATGAAGAATTTGATCAGAGGACCTTATTACGCACATGTCATCACTAAATGCAAACAGAGCATTTTATTAGTAGAAAAACAATGATGGGTCCTTTTTAGTGCTGTCAACGTTAATTTAGTTAAAATGACGTTAACGCGCTAACTCACTAACGGCATTAACATCATTTTAACGAGATTAACGCTGACAGCACTAGTCCTTTTATGTTCTATGTATCATATGCGATCCATTCAGCGAGACGAGAAAAGCCGTTTATATTTTCTAAAAACATTCTACGAACATGTCATGTGTCATTTCCACAGAAGAAATTTAAAGTGACATGTTTATGACCACCAATAATAAATTCACTGGACTATATGACGCCCTTCTGACTCTTTCTTTTAATAATCATTTTCTTCTATGCTGTGTAAATGAAATAGTACTACAGATACTAACTTGTAAGTCTTGTGGAGCTCCATGACCTTCTCCTCTAGCTCTTTGGTCTGGTTGGGTGCGAAGCGCAGTTCACTGAGGTAGTCGCTGGCGAGTTCCTCTGAGTCATAGTCTCCAAGTTCAGACTGCGCCGTATAAGAGCCCAGCACCGTGTGGGTGGCAAAGGAGCAGGGCAGGCGACCTGAAACTACATCATCTCTCAGCTGCAAGCACAGGTAGTACCTGAGAGAATGAGGACAAAATATACAATATATATGTAAACAAAACTGCAATTTCGTGTTTTTTAAAAAAAAATCATATCTAATGTCTGGATTTTCTCATTTCTTTGAAAACTTCCTGAGATTTTTAAGTGCTAGAAGTACATTTTTATGCATCCAAGTCTATAAAAGGTTTATAGAAGAATATAAGCAAAGGACAGCAAAACCGACCTTGTGATGTCCTCAGTCAGTTGTGAGGGGTCTGGTGGGTAAAACTTTACATTGAAAGCAAAGTTCCAGGGTCCAGCTGAGGTATCGACAGAACATGAAAGGATTAAAAATCAACATTCAACAACAGCAAAGGCTTCACTTGGAAATTCAGAGCATATAACATTCAGGTAGCGTCACTGGATTGCTGCACTTACTCCTGATCTGCTTCTTCAGCTCCTTGGCAGGATCCAGCCAATTCTGCGAGACACAACCACAGAAGATGAAACATTACATCATTGCTAATTTGGGAGCAAATTACCAAGAGCCCAGAGGGGAAAATCCTGCCTGGTATGCATATGTAACAGTTATCTCATAAATGTCTTCTCGAAAGAAACATTTAACTTCATTTCCTACTGTCGATGAACCACTTTCCAAGTAAAAATATATAACATGTTAGTTAATAAGATTGCCTTAAAAAAAAAAAAAGTACCTTTTGATTCTCTACATCTCTATATGTAATGCCAAAATAGTCCTTCTCTAGTAGGTTGAGGTGATCACACACTTTATCAAAGAGGAACTGGCCCTTGGCTCGTTTCTGTGAACAGAAAAAGAATAAAAGCACATGTTGAATGCAGAGTCATTTGATGGGTATACTGACGTGCAACATTTGAACATACAGAACACAGAAACTCATTTAAAATAAACAATCACACCAAATTAGATTAGTAGGATTGTGTAATTTCTTTTAAGAGTTTTTCCAGTAATGCAAACCCTTCATTTGTCCTGATTTGCTTAACAATTACACACAAAATAATGATAAACACAAACAATAAAGCAATATTATTAATCCATGTTGCAGCTTAAAAAGCTATTTTATGCTGCCGTGGAACTGCGTTCCCCTTCAAGTCCTTCTCTTCTTATTGTTATCTCGATAATTAAATGAAAGTGAGCTCATCTCTGCAAAACCACATTA